ATGACAAGTGTGTAATCCCCCTTCCGGCCCTCACTTGCGCAAAAAAAGACAAGAAAAAAAAAAAGGTTACCGGCATTTCTCATCTGTCAGTCTGTGGCACCAGTGATACCTTCCTTAATTCCGCTATCAAACTGACGGCAGAACGCGCCCGGCCAATTTCGAAGGTGGTCAGGGTAGGCCTATATACATAACCTACGGTCTCGACCAAACAAAAAGCACTTGTTGTTTACGACCAAGTGTTAAGTAAGAAAAGTGCCGTCCAACGTAAGGGGTAAGTATAGCATGAGTGTTTCCAAGTGCCGAGGGGGGAGGGGGACGGGTCAGCAATGACGAGGGGAGCGGGAGAGGGAAACGGGGCAGCGACAGCAGCGGGGGTAGACCGGGCGAGCGAGAAGGCCTGGTATGACACAAGGTAAGGCGCGGCCCACACAGGCAACCCGTAAAGGGAGCTAAAACACAAGGTGCAGGCGGAAGAGAGCCAAGACTATATTAAGGGGCCCACGACTCCACGTTTATACTACGCATCTCATATTGTGCATGAAGATATCGACCCGACCTGTGCGAACCCACGTCCCGCGAGGCATCGCGCACGTAAGAGTGGCTGGAGAATGAGAGGGTGGCTGAGAGAGAGCTGTATGCGTATTTGCATGTCGGTGGATGTGTGGGTGTGTGCGTACGCGTGCGCGTGCGTCCGTGTATCAGTATGTGTGTAAGCGTGTGCGTGGGTATGTATGCCTATACATTTGTATTAATCTACATGTATATACATATATGCACACACACACACACACACACACACACACACACACACACACACACACACACACACACACACACACACACACACACACACACACACACACACACACACACTAAAATATAAAGTAAGTAAAATCGATATATATTATATATTATATTATATATATATATATATATATAATATATATATATATATATATATATATATATGTGTGTGTGTGTGTGTGTGTGTGTGTGTGTGTGTGTGTGTGTGTGTGTGTGTGTGTGTGTGTGTGTGTGTGTGTGTGTGTGTGTGTGTGTGTGTGTGTGTGTGTGTGTGTGTGCGCGCGCATGTATGTTTGTGTGCACTCGTGCGCGCGTGTAATCGAGAGCAGAGAAGCTACGGCAGAGCGGTGTTTACGGTTTGATAGGATGACAAAGGATATTCTAATCCGAATAAAGCAGACACGCAGCGAGACCGAAGAAAGCCTACATGGCTCATCCGTGAGTCAGACTTGTGGACGACGTATACTCTGCTTGGCCGCCAGCTCCTACCGCCCCACCACGCCAACCAGCCAACGCACGCAAACAACCAAACGGACAAACACCCGCGCCTCTCAAAAACCTTATGAAACACGTTGCTATTCCCGGACTAGATCGCACGGCAAGGAACTTGACGGCATACCCCAGGAAAGCAAGGTGGAGGGTATGACGCAGGCTCCACCCTTAACATATTCCACACACGCCGCTCCTTGACGACTTAGCCCCAGCCCGAGAGAGAGAGAAAAAAAAAACAGCCCCGTCGTTACTTAACTCTTACTCGAGACGACCAACGCACAGCCGCTGACCGAGCCGAGGGGCATGCAAGGATATCACTTGCGGTCTCAGGCATGCCCACCGCCGCCGTGGTGCCCCCTGGCATTTCATTGAGACGATGCCATTTTATTCCATCGCATTTTTTTTTCTCTCCTACGACTTGTTTCCTAACGTCCCGACGAACTGTGCATTTTCTCCTTCCTCTCTAAATATCCTTTACTCTTTTTTTTCCAATCATTATATCCGCTTTCAAGGTATCCCCCACCGGCGAAGTTGTAAGTGGGAGCCAGAGACATCAACTGTAAGGCAGGAGCGTGACATGGCAGCGCCGCGTACACCCCCGTGGCAATGGACGGCAACGACTGACCTCTTGGTGTCGCTTATACCCCGTGGTAAAACCCTCTGAGTATTGTCGTGTCACGTGCATCATCGGAGGGGGTGATGATGCTGCTGAATCTACAGATCAAGGTCACGGGGAAAGGTGAGTGTCTGCTCTTTTTTTTCCATACGTTCCTAACATGTATATCTAATGTTGCCCAATCGTTGCATCCTGCTATGGTGTTACAAGCGACCATTTTGGTTGTTAAATGTAGAAATTAAAAGCTTTCAGATATGTGACGAATTAAAGCGATGATATAAAAATCACAAGATCGCCGGCCGCCACGACCCACCTCACCACAGGACGTCACTATCGCATCATTATCAGCGTGTAACCCACTCGCGTTACACAGTTATCCATTAAATACCATTTATAATAAGCCAAGCCTGCTTCTCTTCCACTCCTTCTGCCTATTTACCAACCCCAACACACCAAATCCCCTTCTTTCCCTTCTATTTCTTTCTCTTCTCCATCTCCATTTTCTCCCTTACCTTGTCCACCTCCTGTTCTTCCTCTATCTACTCTTTGCACGGTCTCTGCGAAATCCGGTACTCGTTCCAGCCTTACCTGTAGAGGGGAGAAGAAAGGTAAATATTAGACCGGTAACGCCGCGCAAATTCTAAAACACAAAACACGAACCGGAAACCCCCCGGTTACTTCATTGCACCTCCAGCCCCGAAAAAAAAGGAGAAGAAAAACACAAATGTTTCTCTCGACTCTGCTCTCTCCCCTCCCTCCCCACCACTATCTCCACCCCCCCCGCACTCACTCTACTGCATCCACGCACACACAGACAAGCACTTATATGGCCCCTCCGCCCAAGCAAGCACTCGTCCCGTTCTCTCTTGAGCTCTACAAGCAATATCGCATTCTGAGAGTCACGAAAACAAAACACAGAGCCAATTCCTCTCTTATCAACGTTAACATTCAGTACGTGGATGTCTAACGATAAGAAATCCTTCCCTGTCGACGAAAAGCAAGCACCATCTCGCTTAAAGCTGACTCTTACAGACAAAGATAAAACAGAAATCGAAGGGCGAATTAAAGAATAAAGTTATTCTTCATACCAATCTTTGATATAAAAAAAAAACTCTAAAAACGGTTATCAAAATATGTTACTGACAGAGCACGCAAGACAGAGCGCATAAGCCTGCCGATCCTGCCGTCGTTTCAGATTACGTAGAGCGAACACATAACACGTAATTATTCCAGACGGGGTGTTACGTGAAAGGGAAAGGTAAAGGGGAGCGGGGGAGGGTGTGGGGAGGGAGGGGGAGGGTGTGGGAGGGAGGCATAGACACGTATGGCAAGTAGGGCAAATGCCTATACATAGCTGGGTAAAGGGGAAAGTAGGGGGGGGGGGATGGGGCGTCGGAATAGGAAGCCCCACTCACAAATAAACACACATATATACAGGGAAGCACGTACACGCACACACTCACTCTCTCTCTCTCTCTCTGTCAACGCGCGCGCACGCGCACGCACGCACACACGTACACGCGCACGTACACACACACACACACGTACAAGCGCACACACACACACACACACACACACACACACACACACACACACACACACACACACACACACACACACACGCACACACCACGCACGCACGTACACACACACACACGCACACACACACGCACGCACACACACACGCATACACACACACGCACACACACACACACAACATACACTATTTTAAAAAAAACTATATATATATATATATATATATATATATATATATATATATATATATATATATATATATATATATCACAGTACCTGAGACAAATGAGATTTGACGCGCGCGGGCTTATCTCGCGGCCAAGTTTTCGTCTCGACTCCCCTCCCTCATATCTCCCCCCCCCCCCCCCGTGCCCCTAACCCCACAACCCTACCTCCGTGCCCCTAAGATACCAAATCTTAATAATCCATATACGATAAAGATTTCATGGTTATCAATTAATCTAATCGGCGCGACTCCAAACCAATAGTTCTTTTTTTTTTTTTACTTCATTCTATTTATGTTGACCCGACTGTGTTTTGGGGACGGACGGAAACCGGATGTTGTCGGTACTATGTAGAAGCTCGTGCCCAAAGAAACATTCTTGGCGGTCTATACGATTTCAAGATATGTTACATACATACATACATACATACATACATACATACACACACACACACACACACACACACACACATTTATATATACATACATACAGACAGACACATACATATATATACACATATACATATATGTATATACATACATACATACATAAACACTCACACAATATATATATATATACATAATGGGAGGAGGGGATAGAGAAACGATAGCGTGAGAGCAACGATAGAGAGAGAGAGAGAGAGAGAGAGAGAGAGAGAGAGAGAGAGAGAGAGAGAGAGAGAGAGAGAGAGAGAGAGAGAGAGAGAGAGAGAGAGAGAGAGAGAGAGAGAAAGACAGACAGAAAGGATACAGAAAGGGGAAAGGAAGACGGAGAGACACGGACGAAAGACGAACCGGTACAGAAAAGAGGAGACAAAAATTGGCAAAAGAAAAAAAAGCAAAGAGCAAAAAAAAAAAAAAAAAGAGCAAAAAAAAAAAAAAAAAAAAAAAAAAAAAACGTAATGCAAGTCCTTCTACGGGCGCGACGACGTGAGAGATCGCTGCAACTACTCAACGCTGCCCCGACCCCTGCTGCCTCATTTCTCATCGCCCGAGGGCAGGAATGAGGACAAGGATGGGGAAGAAAATAGAATTCGGAAGGGTGGGGGCAGGGGGGGGGGGAGGTACGGGATAGGGTGCAAAGGCCAAGCGGTACGTTGGTAAGAAAGGAAAGAGAAGGGTACAACAAATAAAAACAAAAACACTGAATAAGAGGAGAAGTGAGTGAAACCGAGCAGAATGGACAGATCCATTGGGGGTGGGAAGAGAGGGAGGATGAAACAAAGACGAAGAGAAGAGAGGAAGAGGAAGAGATAGAGAGTGGCAGTGGCAATGGGTAATGGATGAAGAATAGAAGTGAAATTATTATATATATATATATATATATATATATTATATATATGTATATGTGTGTGTGTGTGTGTGTGTGTGTGTGTGTGTGTGTGTGTGTGTGTGTGTGTGTGTGTGTGTGTGTGTGTGTGTGTGTGTGTGTGTGTATATATATATATATATATATACACACACACACACACACACACACACACACACACACACACACACACATACACACACACACACACACACACACACACATATATACATATACATACACACATGCACTAATGCATCTCATTATTCAAGGTAGCACATTATTCAGTGCGTGTTTGTGTGTCTCTTTGTCTTTATGTTTGTGTTTTCGGTATGTGCATTTTTGGCTGCTTGTGTGTTTGTGTGCGTGTGTGTGGGTGGTCGGGTTGGAGAGAGGTATGCTGGGATGGTATCGACTTCGTCTACAAATCTGACTCACGGGATGAGTCATATAGCCACTCGGCAATCTTATACAAGTCTCTGCTTTATTTAAAATATCGTACTTTTTATCGTATTTAACCGTAAACATCTCTCTCTCTCTTCACTCTCTCTCTCTCTTCTCGTCTCTCTCTCTGTCACTCACTCACTCACACTCACTCACTCACTCACTCACTCTCACTCTCACTCACTCACTCACTCACACTCTCACACTCACACTCTCACTCTCACTCACACTCACACTCTGTTTCACTGTACTGTTCTCCTCCCTTCTCTCCAGACCAGAAAGTACACAAAAAATAGAAGAACAAAACACATCACACAAACGTGAGGATGAACAAAACGAACACCAAACACGGGGATGAACAAAACGTGCACACAAGGAAAATGGAGAGAAAGTACAAAGATGAGAAAAAAATAGTACAAAGGGAGACGTAGAGGAAATTAAAGAAACGATGAGATAATGATATACACATACAGAGAGGGGAATGGACGAAGCGTGCACACAAAGGATAGAATGACCGGAAAGCACACAAGAAGACGGGAAATGTCAAAATAAAAACCACACACAAAATGTACACGCAAAGACTGGAAGATAAAAAAAAATGTACACAAAAAGGCGAGGACAAACAAAACGAAACAAAAAAAAAATGTTGGGAACAGCAAGTACATTCAAAGATAAACAAAACGTACACATAAAGATGGGGACGAACAAGTGCACACAAAACCGAGGATGAAAAAAAAATATTGGGAACAGAAAGTACATTCAAAAATAAACAAAACGTACACACAAAGATAGCGACGAACAAGTACACACAAAAGCGAGAATGAACAAAAAGTACGTAGATCGGTGGGATGAACAAAATATACAAAGAAAGGCTGTGACGAACGAAAAGTACAAAGAGCGACGAGAATGAACAACGTACAGACAAAGACGGTGATGAAAAACACGCACACAACACGAGGAAGAACGATACAAATACCTAAATAGAAATGCAAGGATCTATTTACACTGTGCAGATTGGTATTCACGGTAATATGAACGGAGTGTATCCTTTCCCCCTGCATTATATATCAACCAAGAGGAAGACCAGTTTGCACCTCTGACGCGAGGGAGGGAAGGGAGAGAGAGGTCGGGTGTAGAGGGAGAGGGAGAGGGAGAGGGAGAGGGAGAGGGAGAGGGAGAGGGAGAGGGAGAGGAGAGGGAGAGTCGGGTGTAGAGGGGGAGGAGGAGGGGGACTCTTCCTTACCCCGCCCCCCAACCCACCCATTCAAAAGAGTAAAAACAACTGCTGACACCCAATAAATGAGCTGACACGGTGACGAAGCATCCATTGTCGGGGAAGCCTGAAACTCACAAATGGCCATTAAGAGACGCTAATCACTTGACCGAGTTCCACAGCGAGGATGATCGCATCAACGAGAAAGTTAATAGCTACTCTTCATATTAATAAAAAACAGAACGAGGTCTTTCAGTATGAAAAGCCAACAAGTCACGAAATGAAATCCAAAGTCATTTCACAGACGCAGTGTGTACACAAATCTCTCGGAGCAGCATCTGTGAAGGAGAGAGCAAACGGGGATCTCAAAAAAAATAAATACAAAAAAAAATAAAAAATAAATAAATAAAAAAAATAAAAAAATAAAAAAAAGAATTTCGAGGAACCGTGCTCACTCTCTCTTCCGAGTAAACAACAATCCCGTTAAAGGTCCAAAAGAGGAAGGTGTTGCGCCATTCCGAAAACGTCCCGAATATAATAACCGACTAATGACGGGACAGACGTGACGGATGGATGAAGGGTAAGGAAACACGAAGGTGCTAAAGGTAACGTACTCAGTCAAGTGAAAACTAAGGCTGGGTGTCTGCCAAGGGTTAGAGGGGAAACAGCGTGACAGAGAGAGGAGAGGGGAGGGGAGGGGAGAGGGGAGGGGAGGGGAGAGGACAAGTACACGAGCAAAATGAGGCCAACACTATCGTTGCGGGACCAAGGTCACCATGTCAAGGTGCGGCTCAGCGAATCGAGTCGACACTAAGGAGTTAGAAAATATTCTCTCCCACTTCTACTTTCCCTCTCCCCTTCCC